AAGTAAATAAAATGATGATAAAGTTTCAAATCATGTATTGCAGGTAAAAAATAAAATAAATTCTTTATGAGAAACAATAAAGATTATTATAAATGTGTAAGTCATTTCTTTGTACTTCTATATTCAGTTAGCTATCCAAGGTTTTCTATGTTTACAGAACAATTAAAATTGCCTACCTGTTGACGTCAACGTCAGTTGTTTCGAAAATTGTTTGTACACGTTCAACGTTTTCATGTTCAACGGCAACGAAAAGGGCTAAACAATTGAAAATATCCCTTAATGAGAAAACTGCAACGTAAATTAAATAAACAGTTAAACTTTGAAATAAAATAATCAGAAACACAAGATCCATTGTGAATCAACCTTACAGTTAATTGTTGATAACTTACTCATCTTTTGGAGAGAAAACCAATGTTTTAAACTGAAGTATTTAAGTAATCTTGAAATCACATATGACACATGTATGAATGGAGATACGCCACATTTCATTAGCTAACTCTAGTTATAAAAAAAAAGATGGCACCGCAGATATTTCACAACTAAACCCGCATATGACATCAAAACTTTTTGCAAGTCACATTCTTCTCGTTTACACGTGCATCTGCAACGTGGTAACATTTGAAAACAAATACATTATTAAAATCGGTGTAAAGCAAAAATAATTAAGTGGTAAACTGTTCGACCAAACGACCTACTTGGAAACGCCTTCAGAAGGACACATTTTGAAGACCAATTTAAAGCGTTAGAATTTTTTATTCGAATGCACGGTCCAGAGATCAATCAGCTAACTCCCTGATGTCGTACAAAACTCGGCATTATATCTAATGCCGAAAAGAATGTCCTGAAAATATTAATGAATAGAGAAGTCGTTGTCGTCAGGCTTGCTGATAAAGAAAGTCCCTTGTTCTCTGATCCAGTGTTTGCAGAGAAACATCTGACAGTAACCCTCACCAACCCTACGACCAGATAACACTACCTTGCTAAACAAACTATTGAATATTATATATCTAACAATAAACGTTTTTTTTTTAAATAGGCTGTAGATTGATTGTCGATGATCACTCAGTTTTATTTTTTAACTTCACAAGATACTCAAGCCTAACAATGAGAGAAGGCTCATTGTTTCAACCTGTTCCTGTCATAGTTACTCGAAAGCATTTTCTCCCACAGATGCTATTGCTCAAATATCCTTAAAGACAAGAACTACGTTTATAAAAGTTTATCAAAGTCTCCGGGGTTCTGAAATAGTACGTAATTCTTTCTTTGACAGCGATTTTAATAACTTATATAATTATATTCACATTCTTCAAATTGTTCTACATGAAAATTACCCCAACTTCTTAAGCAAAGTCTAAGAAAAATCATAAACAGCTTCTTGCGTCAGAAAAGATGAACTGTACCAAAAGATAATTTCATTAAAAAAAGCTTATCAACAAAAAACGCATTTCTACTTCCAAAATTCCTCGTAATTAAGTGTGAGTGCTTATAAAACCAAAATCCAGGGTACTATTTGCATGGGCACGATGCACATAACTCATTGTGCAGCTTCGCGCTTAAAACAAATCAGGAGCGTGTTTTTAAACAGATGGTTTATTTTACAAATTGTCAACAATGCAGCTATTTATAATAGTTTTTGTATGATGATAACAATAGTCTACAAGATCTTTTCGGAATTGTAACGAAAACATAACTTCATAACAATCAGATAAAAAATTAAGCCTAATGCGTTTTCATTTTTTAGAATAACAAGTGAAATTTTATTACATTGTTACGTCTCTGTGTTCGTTTGTTAATTTCCCGTATAACTTTATTCGGATGAAACTTCAGCGATACAAGACCTTTCTTAAATAAAACTAGTTTATTTTTTCTCAATACAACCTGCAATACACTTAATTTCCACAGTCATTTTAATTTAAACACACGCTATAATTCACAACGATTCGC